CGTTCATCGCCATAGTCACTGGGTTTACCCTTGCCTTTGCATTGAGTTGAGCTGACTTGACAGGAAAGTAGGCCATGATGTTTGCATGTCTTACCAAACAGCCTTTGCAATTAGCAAGACTATGCTCCCATTTTCTTGCACTGCTCATATTATTCCAATTTTCAAGCAAAACTGTTTTTAAGTATGCAGCTTACTCATCGAGCTTATGCACGTTCCACTTGTTTACCATCTCTCGAAGAGCCTTAATTTTCTTTTGAAATTGAAGAAAATCAATTTTAAATTTACTGTCACTGTCCATAGACTGAAACGTGCTACAAAACCGTCCGTATTGCTCATTCTTCAGTAGTGGCTTAAACTTAGTATTMCTTTTTTCGGGTGCTTTAGGCAATGTAGCACTTCTCACATTTCGAGCGCTCCAACTTAAGCAAATCCACAAGAATTAGGACATAGAAATCTCCCCGACAACATTCTCGATACAAGCCTGATACCACAAACTGCTTTGAATCTTAATATTTTCAAGAAGGGCAATATTTTGATGAAAAAAATGATGAATAATCTTGCTAAGAGAACAGCGATCTGAGTAATACTCGTTAACTTTCTTGAATTTCCRGCTCAAAAAATCAATACAAGACATGCGTAAGGTTTGAGATATTTATTTACTAAAATATGATATACGTAAAGTAAGAAGATGCGGAATTTTACTAAAGTAGTTTTACTAAAGTAGTCAACAGCTCAGACACGTTTTAAAAGAGCACGATTTTTACACAAATAAAAGGGACAGTAGTATCCACATCTGAGTATTGATAAAGAATACTGACCTTCCCAAAAAATGCTTTTCTGTTAAATTAAACGAGTTTCTTACTGCGAAATACGCTCTTCGYCAATTTCACCAGCTCTTGCTGTCACTTGCGCCTAAATACAGGAATGGCTCCGACATGTTTTTGGCCGAGAAAGGTCTGGAGCTGACTAATATATTCTAATCTGCCGGGTTTCCTGTGTTTTTGTACAAACAATGTATTGAATCGAAGTGAAGATTTCCTTGCTTGACATTTTTTAGTTTTTAAGTGGTTCTCATCAGGCCCTATTTAAGCTAAGTTATAATAAGAGTTTTATAACTTTATTGGATATATACAATTAAGCTTCAGACTACTTTTTATGTTGTATCACAAAGTTTGAAAGTAAGGCCAATAACTTATAAGTATTATTATCATTTCTCTGTGTCGACTGAACAACTGTAGACTGATAAGCAGTACCGATTTTTGCTGATGCTGAATTAAAAAGAGGAACTGCTTGCAGTCTATTAAATTACATAAAAATTACTGTAAACTGATCACCTCATCTAGATTAAAATCCCAACTTTGGTTGGGGTGTGCTGCACGACCGTCAAAACCCTTACCCTATTCAGACCATTTTTCGTGATTTTACATAACCTATTTGCTATACGGGTATATGTGCCGCAGGATAGGGTCCCTTTTTCGGAGCTCCAAGTCTGGGATAGGGTACCATTTTTAGCCCATTTAAGTAGTATCTAAGATAAACACTTATTTAGGAACTATAGGTTTTTTTCATGAACATACTGTAAGCTTTCTAATGTTAACATTATTGTCATTATTGTAATTCATAGACCATATGAAAAAGGGCGTGGCTATCATAACAACTTAGTTTATAGGATTTTTATTGTATAATTGCTACCTGTTGAAACAGCACATTACAATGAATGAGATCTTGGTGTATATATTGACAAAAACCTTGCTTGGGATCAACAGATAAATCACGTACTAGGCAAGATTTCACAAAATGTAGGCATTATTTATAAACCCATGCTGAAACGGCTTTATTACACCTTAATATATCCCTATCTGACATATGGTATTCTGTCTTGGGGTAATGCCTCTAAATCTAGAATTTTATAAACTTTCAACTAAARAAAACAAATGTATACGAGCAATTTTCTTTGCTCKCAAAAGAYAAAGTGKTATCSRATTTTTWAATCTCCTGGATATTCTTACCTTTGACAATTTGCTCAAATTCAAAACTGCTTTATTTGGACATATGATTACTTTAAACAAATCACTTGTACCAAGTATATTTCATAATTATGTGAAACCTATCTCAGAAATTCACAATTACAATACACGTCTAGCTTGTAATTTCAACTTCTTTAGACCACAAATCAAAACAAATTATGGTAGAGCTACATTTAAATTCTCATTGTCCAAAACCTGGGAAACCATTCCCACTCACCTCAAGCAGCTTAGTTATCTTACTCAAACTTTAGCAAGAAGTTTAAACAACATTTACTAAAGCTATCAAAAATAGTCTCCTCCTCCTTACATTGATATGGACTAATTGACTATTTCAACTAAATTGGTTGATCAGTCCATAAATGAAATTGTAAAAATTGTAATATTTGTAAATATTTTTTAAGTAAAACCCTCTTTATTTTCTTTAGTATATTTATATTCCTGAAGAAATTTATAGTATATGTCATGTGATTATTCTTGTTKAATCTAATGTTTGTATTCATTTAAAAAGAGCCCTAAGCTCGCTTTCAATAGGCAGTGGTTAACTCGAAAGCTAAGCTGCTTTAGCCAGTGCACACTTTCCACTATAACAACCATGTAATTCCCCATAATTATCTATAATAGATTAACAGTATTCCTTGTAAAATAAGTATATATGTGTGTAAATAYAAATTGAATTGAATTACATTTAAGCACCGGAAATTACAGGTGTTTGAAATTGTAAAGGTTTGAGTGAAACTCAGTATGGCCTGACCAGCCTCGTTTTCACATTTTTGTTATATTTAAAATGCTCATAACTCTGCTGATATTGAATCAACATTTGAAACTAAAACTCCACCAGTGAAATAGTTTGGAAAAAATTTGGACCATTGAATGTGCTCATTTCCCAGTCTTCTGCTTGATTTTCATTGGTTCAATAATTTTTATTTACATTTCAAATTGTAAATCTGTGAAAACATCCAGTATAGACTGGGCTATAGAAATAAATGACAATAATTATTATTGATTAATTAACATAATAGGTGATGTGATGGTTTGTGACAATTGCTTGATATTTATTTCCTTGACATTTATTTTCCCAAGGCAACACGCTTAGCTGGATTGATTGTACAACTTGAACAATGCCATGACTCAGGTTCATATTCTTTATTCCTGCACAGCCCCTGTGAATAAAAAAGCAGATCTAAARAGAAAAATGTTCTTTTGAATATTAAATAAAGTAGCAACTTKATACCAGTCATACCATTCTCCACAAGTTTCACATTCAATCACGTTAGTCTGCTTTGATATTGATTGCACT